AAATATCAGGGGTCTGTTTAGACCCCTAATATTTACCCGTAGCCCCTAAAAGTAAAGTAAAAAATTAAAATATTTAATAAAAATTAATTAATACATTTTTTTTCATTTCGGTTTTACAATTTCCATTTCAGTGCACCTCTAGTTATAACTAGGCAGAACATTTCCATCTTCAGTCATACCACTTAGATTACTGTAAACTCTCCCACTGGCTTATGCTGTAATTAGAAAACTAGCTGTTTGAAATCTAGCTTATTGAAAAAATCCCTTTTATGTAGTAAGTGCTGCCATCCGTCTTCCCATCACTTTCACCAACTTCCTGGATTCTCAGTGTGCTTTGTGTCTTTTTCCCTGCTGCTTGATGTGATGCAATCTTCATTTCACAAGAGTCCATATCCCTTCATGCATTGATTCCAGAAAGCAATGATGATGATACACTGTGCAGACGTCAAGTTGCATGTCAGAGCACAGGCTCTGTGACACAAAGAAGTGCATATATTCACACGGTTAAGTGAAATTGTCTGCATTGAGAAAGCGCATCCTATGGGCATATTTAAAAAGTAAGTATGCAAAGATTGCAAACTTGTAGATTGCGTCAGTGAACCTCTGCTGCCACACCAGTCACAAACTTCTGTGATTAGGAATACTCTTATACAATTCATGCAGCTCATAATCAAACAAAAAAACTGCAACTGATTGTTTCCCTTGAAGCTGACAGAAAGGTAGTGTCACCTGATATAGGATCATGTACAGAGTCTGTTAATGAACATATTTATGGAAGCCTTCTTAATCTCCAGCTAAGGTCTTACGGATGAAGTGAGACGCTTGCCCTCGCTGCTATTGAGGATGAGTTAGTTCACAGATGTCAAAGTTCCCTGTGAGTGGAGCTGACCTGACAAGCATGCAGCGCCCCGGAGATCAATGGTGAAGAAATGTCCTTAATTAGCACAGTATTATGTTCAGTACCATCGTTCAGGACCTAGTTATGGGTCACTGATCCAATTAATGTTAAACCTTGATTTTCACACACATTAATGAAATTCCATCTGCAAGCTGATTAGACCCGACAGCCTTCTAATAGGTTTCACCTTAAACTTTTTTTTCTCCTCCCGCTTGAGTTACTTTACTGGCAAGCATGACACAGACAAGATTGCCAGCCGCTAAAGGGGGTTCCTACCTTCCTTCCACTTTTTTTGCATGCATGTGAAAGAGTAGGTAAAATGGCCCTTGTGTATCTTTTGAATGGCTGATTGATTTGCACAGAGAGTTCCAGGTTCTGGTTTGTCCCTGGAAATGTCCCTGGTTTAAAAACCATAGCTAAAATGTGGACCCGTTTCTTAATGAAATCCCTGTTATTTTTCCTGGAATATTACATTTGATTATTAGGGTCATGTTTATAAAGCAGTGAATGTCACATTCACCAAGCATTCTCTACTGGTTAATCATTCTTTATCTTTTATAACACATTGACCAAGAAGATGCACCAGCAGTGAATGTCACATGCCTCTTGCTATCCTAGTAACGTGTTCTGTGGGATTCCAGGTTATATAGAATTAGTAATAGAGACATGCCCACCTCCCACAGATTTGTAGATAATGGTAATAAGAGGGATGCCCTCTCCCCATTGTAGTTAGTGGCCTTTGGTCCAAAATTTCAAATACATTGGGGCAAATTTATCAGAATCTGGAGCAGTTGCCCATAGTAACCAATCAGCTTCTCTCTTTCTATTTCAAAGCTTAAAGGAGAACTATGGGGTAACCTTTTTTGCACACAGTTCTCTTCAGGGTCATGGAAGGACATATAGCAATGTCCTCCAGTGACGCAAAACAGTATATAGCAGTCTATTACCCGCTATATGCTGAGAAAAGCCGCTGGCTGATTGACAGCTAGCTACGCCCGCCCCCTCCTACCCTGTCCATTCCTCCAGTCAGCATTGGAGGATCGGAGAGGGGTATCCTGCAGGGAGCCGTGGCTGACAGTCACCGCTCTCTGCAGGGAGAGGATCAGGAAGTCAGCGATCGGCAGTGTGTGTTCGCTCACTTCCCAATCAATAGAGCTGACCTGTGACAGCTTCAGTGTCACAGGTCGGCTTGAAGTATAGGGCTGAGTGTTTTTCACTCACCCCATAATTCTCCTTTAAGCTGATTGGTTGCTATGGGAAACTGCTCCAGTTTTGATAAATTCCCCCAATGATTTTCATTTGTGTGTCGTTGCATTTACTGGTCCCACAGGAGGTACAGCAAAACAGACCCTACTGTTCTAATGGCCGGAGAATCCCAAAGCAAACTGAGGATTTCCATTAAACTGAAAATCAACTTTCAAGGTGCTAATGCTACTGTACATATTCCTAGTAGAGATACAGACAGCACAAGTAGGATTGAGGTGACAGTATAGACTAGAGTAATATTTGCTATTTCTATACTGTCCCCTCAACCCTATACTGAATAGACATATATATCTGGACTATTCAATGGAGTGTGGCACTTCAATTCACAATCCTGCAATTTGACATGACAAACCAAGATTAGAGAGGACATCTCCTGGAATATAGAAGTTGCCTGTGCTGTAGTCACCTATACAGAATCTTTCATATCCTAGTTGGTCAGCCGCATCGATATATAATGAACCTTGCAGGTCCAGTGTTTTTATGCCACTTCTTTCCAGTACACTGTAACAGTAAGCGCCATTCAAGGACCTTCACAACCAGTTCACATCTCTCTGTGTTTCAGTAACATATGCATCTTAACACACATTCCCATATCGCACAAGATGTTGCGCAGTGCTGTTAGCTGTCGCTTGTGTGTTGCACTGCAAGGCATGGTAATTTATCACCATGTGTTGTGGTGCCATGCGATGTTAAAAAAAAAAAAAGGGACATGCACTTCTTTTGTGCAATTTAGATGCAGTAAGCAGCCCATTCAAATGGGCTGCCTTACCGCAATGCAGAAAAAATGTGCTGCCCCACATGTGTAATGTTGCATTGCACAGGTATGAACTGATAGAATCACCAGGTCCTATTTAATTTATTGCTACTGATTTAAGGATAGTAAAAAATGAATTTTGACATTACATTAACTTTAAGCACTTTATCTTTCACAGAGAATGGGCAAAATCACATGACAAAGGCATCCTTCCACTGACAAGCTCAGGGCACTGATGCCTACTGAATCTGGCCCCATTGGCCTATATAAGACTCTATTTAAAGTGAACCTGTGTTTGTTTACAGTACTACTAAAGTGTTTTATATATAGTATTTTACTGTGCACCCAGTAAGCCAACTTATCCTGACCGCAAGCTAAACAGAGGCTTCAACTTCAGCTACGACTTTGAAGTTATGTCCCTCCCTCACCTACAAGGAGTGCACCAGTGGCCGATAACG